TAGTTGCTGTCGATGAATATCTTACTGAAGCGTAATTAACTTCATTTTTACTTTTGCTTTGTTACGAGTGTACTTGCTTCACAATTTGTATTATTTGTTTGTATTTTTTTCTCTGTTGCCTAGTATTATATAACATCCCATTCCTGCGATAGCCCTGAATAGGGCTGCAGTATGTATAAATAAATAAATAAATTTTGCTCAATAGTAAGCATCCCACAGGAGGTATTACAATTGCTGCAGGCCAACGGGCTGAAAGCCTCATGGGAAAAATGCTATTTTGGCCAACCCTCTGTTAGGTTTCTGGGCTTTATTATTTCCAGTCAAGGCTACCTTCCAGATCCTGATAAGGCTGCGGCTATGTGTCGCATCCTAGTTCTGCGAAGCCAGAAAGAAGTGCTCTCCTGAGTGCAAACAGCAAGCTTCTATCTTCGTTTTAATAAGGGCTTTGCGAAAGTGATAGTTCTTTTGCAAGCTCTCATCAAGGCACCCACATTTATTTGGAGCACTGAATGTGAGCAGGCCTTTCAGACAATATGTGCCGCCCTCAACCAGCTTCCACTTCTGGCGCACTTCGTCCCCGTGACAACCACGACGCTAACCACAGACGCCTCACAGGAAGCCATTGGAGCTGTGTTATCGCACGTCCACGACACCAGAGAATGTGTCATTGCCTATGCCAGCTGTGAACTTATGTTAAGCTTTACAGCAATATTTGGGAGTGTATTGCAGTCTACTGCGCAATCACAGTCAAGTTCCGTCAGTACCTCCTAGGCAGAAAATTCTCTCTAGTCACAGATAACTGGACTGTTGCCTGCTTAACGTCCCACGTGCAGCTATCTCGTCGGTTCACTTCTATGCTAATGGACTTAATTGATTGAAATTTGAGGTTTAACGTTCCAAAACCACCATATGATTATGAGAGACGCCGGAGTGGAGGGCTCCGGAAATTTCGACCACCTGGGATTCTTTAACGTGCACCCAAATCTGAGCACACGGACCTACAACACTTCCGCCTCCATCGGAAATGCAGCCGCCGCAGCCGGGATTCGAACCCACGACCTGCGGGTCAGCAGCTGAGTACCTTAGCCACTAGACCACCGCGGCGGGGCATGCTAATGGACTTAGTGCAGTTCAATTTTACTGTGCTGACGTCCGAACATTGTAGCCGACCATTTGCCCCGCTTGGCATGTGCTGTCACGCACTCTTCGCTGTCAATGGCTATGATGCAACCAGAAGATCCTTAGTGCACTAAGATTCATTTTTGCATGGCTAGTGAAAAGGACTCAGCCGAGTACACAAAGTTGGATGACACCCTGTATTGCCGACTGTCATCGGAACATCGGTAGTCGCTTCATCCAAACTGCGCCCTGCCATTCTGCAAGCGTTACACGATGGTGCACAGCACTTTGACACAAAGCGTACGTTACAAAAGGTTCAGGATCGTTATTGGTGGCCACGCATGAAATAATCAGTCGCAGCCTATGTGCCAACCTGCCAGTGTTAACAGTTTTTAACTGCTCTACCACATGCAACGTAGGTCTTGAAAAAATGCTTAACTTAGACAATCATTTTTTCAAGCATAGCAATTGACTATGTAACCATGCCACCCACCAACTCGAAGCGCTACATTCTCAACGTAGTTTATTTTGCTACCTGGTATATAGTGCCCACCACAGTATCATTTACGTCTATGCGCGAAGTTATCAAACATTTGCACAACGTGTTTTACACTTACGGCATGCCAGACCACTGCCTCTCAGACTATGGCTCTGTCTTCGAGTCCAATGAGTTCAAGCGCTGCATGAAGCTTCACTCAGTGGAACTCCATTTCACAACTGCCTATCGTCTTCAAGCCAGTGGCTTGGCTAAGAAAAGCAATGAAACTCTACTGGCAGTTCTCCACAAGCTCTGTGCAATGGAACCACTGTCATGGCCTACCAAACTTCAAGAGGCAGCTTTCGCAGTAAACAAGTCCATGAAGGCAAGCATGAACTTGTAGTGTACACGTACCCCGACGGAATACGGCCACCAGCGTGGCTTCGGTCTTAGCGAGCCGCAGAGCATGCATTAATCGTCGCAGGGCACGCGTTAACCGTCGCTGTGGCGAGAACATGTTACTGCTCAAGGTCGAAACACTTTATTGCCTATGGCAACACCAAAAAGACAATACAGAGCACGTTGCAACAGGGGGGGGGGCAGGAAAGCAAATAGGCTTAACCACGCCCCGGGCGAGAAGTCCTACACAGGGTGTAGCGAGCACATCTCTGTGGGGCAAAAGTGATTCACGGGGACACCGGGACGGAAGGGCCCGGTCGCTCGAGCGAGGACCAAAATGCGCTCGCGTTGGCTTTGAGAGATACGGGTCGGCATAGTATGACCCCGCACTAGGACACCATACCGCTCTTCGGCCAAGCATTCGAAAGGGGGGGGGGGGGGGGCGCGACAAAAGGTAGGCGTTTGCCATGGGCGCAAGACGCCATTGGCAAAGTTCGAACGAGCCCCAAACAAAGAGAGCAGATGGACAGAAAAGAAATGCGTGCTTACCCATGTCGTCCTAGATAAATTCTCACTCACTACCGGCGCGTGCGCGCACGCGCAAGACATCCCGAGAGATTTTGTGCACCGTAACAGTTGACATCCGCTACCGGGTGAGAGAGGTTAATACTTACTCCTGCTCCCCCAGCATGACAGACCACGGTGGAGAGGAGAGTCATGTCAGAAAGAGGCGGCAAAGCCGGCGTAGACGTGGCAGGCTAGCCTTGATTCCCACAAACTTTACGCCATTCCAGCTTCGCTACGGCTACGTACTGAAAATTCCACTCCAACAACATCATTCGTTCCAGACATCCGTTCTTGCCAGGCGCATCCTCGACACAACAGTGCAGTGCTGTGAAGCAACCGTCAGTTCGTAAGCAGCTCAAAGTGCACACGAAGAGCGCTATGACCACGGCCATCGTCCGCACAAATTTATTGTAAGTGGTTTTGTCTGGGTGAGATGACAGGCTCCGTTGCCAAAAAAAAAGTGGCACCTCGCTTCAATGGTGTTTACTGCCTCATTGAGCAGCTTACACCAGCCAGATTTAGAGCTCTCCATCTGTCATCTCGTTTTATTAATCAACCACAAACGGTGCACTTGTCCCAGCTAAAGCCTTATGTGCCACCAGTTTCTCCAGTGATTGCGCAACCATCCCTCGCCCATGCAGATATCATGCCCGCTTCGGGAGCAAATGTCATCTCTATGGAGCAGCAACAGCCACAACGACCCTAACGCACTCGCTGGTTACAGAGACACCTCGACGACTTTGTGCTCGAGTGAAGTTGCAGTGTTTTCCCATGTGTGCGTGAGTATATTAGTGTGCGTGTGACCGTGTACAAAACCCATTGACGACAAGACTTGGTCGATCGGACTAGGGTGGGATGTGAGTGCCCACAGCCGCCCAGCTCATCACTAAAGACCTCTGCAGCGCTAATACGACTCTGCAACGTCAAGACCAAGTGAAGGCTAAACTTTTGCTTTCTTGTCCACCGCCGCGTCTGCAGGCTGCATCCTAATATTTTCCTTCACATACCCCTATGTTTTAATAAATCTTTTGTTACTTAAAGCCTTCGTCTTCACGCCCCGGCCTTTACGCTCAGCCCTTACACTGTTAGTTTTTTCTGGCATGCAAAATGCATTAGCAGCACCCTTGAATGCTGCTATGTATGAAAATTTAATAATTTTTAGCCTGGGGCACCCATGACAATGAAGCATCTCAACATAGGTGTATGGGCGATGGTTTTAGGATAGGTAAAAAAAATTTGGCACGTGGATCTGCTGGGCCTCAGTACCCAAAGTGCCTCAAGTTGCCCAGTTCAAGATGGCAATGTGGAGGCACAAAGATTTCAATTTGTGCCCGATTGCTAAATGTGGCCATCATTAAAAGAAAAGAATACCATATAATAAATAAACGGAAATACATTAAAAAGAAACAAAAGGTGTCACCAGGAATGCCGGTGCAGATGGGAATGGCAGCAACAGGCCCGAAAGTGAGCAACAGATTCTTACAAATTGAAAAAGACAAAATTCCTTATAACAAGCATGCAGAATATTACATTTTGTTGGCTTAATCCACACAAAATACACACAAATTGTGGAGCTAAAGTCAACACAAAATACGTCAATGCTCGCGTACAAAGGTGTATTCACGGTGATGTTTTAGAGCTATTCAGAAAGTTAGCTTTGCGGCAATAACTAAGAATCAATTTTAGAAAATTTCTCACAAATCATTGCTGAGGGTGTTAGTTATATATTAGAGAGTATGCTCTATAGCATACGTAGAGCAGGAATGCAGGAACAATGTTGTCCCGGAGTAACTGGCAGCACTAGTTTCAGTTTCAATAGTAAGTCAACAGCCCGACTTAAGATGCCGAGTTCATACAGTACAATCGTGTACGTACGGTACTAGGCGGTGCTAGAGGCAGCTACTGTCTCTCCAAGTGCTCCCACAAGAGCACTTTCTCGTCACACTGCCTTCTCCCACCCTCCCGGCTCAGCCAGCAACTGAGTCCCCGATTTCCCCAGCAAGGAGGCCTTCACAGTTTTTTCACACGTGCTGAATATGGGCTAGCAGCAAATACAATGCTGAAATACAATGCTCTTGGGTGCCAGTTTGTTATAATTTTAAATTTATTCAAAAAGCATCTGCTACAAATTGACTGGACTGAAGTGTTTTGATGAACTTTAAGGATGTCAACATATTAAAGGTTTTACTCGGTGCTGAACATACTATTCTAAAGTTCCAGGATTTTCAAGGACCTCAAAGGCCACTATGCATGAGGGATGTACTGCAAAGACATCTGAATCGGAAAAAGGAGGAAAAAAAAAAAAAAGAGAGACACGACGTTCTTATGAGCATTCATGCAAAAACATCCTAAGGTGGTCAAAAATAAGTGGGCTATGTAAAGCCTCACCAACGCCACTCTACACACAAAGTACAGCAAAAGAACAAGAGTCACTTACCGAGTCCACCTCTAGGCAATAGGAGTCTTGCAATGTGCGCACCGACTTGCTGACAAGATTTGACAGGAAACTGCTCATTAGCTTGGGCTCTACTTTCTCGAGACCATAGTATCTGCAAGTCAGTTGAACAAAGGTTCTCAACTGAACACGCTGGGTTGGATGCGATTGTGTTGTCATGGCAATGAAGGTAAGCTCATGCAAATCTTTCACAAAATATTTTATTAACCAATGTTTTTTTTTGTTAACATTTCAACTGTGCTTGCCTTGTCTGAAGGGATGTATGATGGGGTGCTGACACACCTTTCAGACAAGCAATACAGCTTCCAAGAGGAACTGTAACGATGCACCCTTTTGATGCTTTTATCATCAGTACTCCATGCAACTGCACTATCTTCCTTTCTACTCCGCCCCACTATTTTTCATTTGTGCAAGCACAATAAAAGCTTTTTTGACAGTCAGTGTCCATCCTCGCTTGATATTTCTTACTCAGCGTCTGAACTAATGCTATTTTTACAGATGGCTCTGAACCGACAAGCTTGCATCTATTCACTTTTAGGTCACAATGTGCCAACATGCAAGTTAAAAATACCTACGTTGGATTTTGCAGGAGTCTTCGGTAGAAGTATGTCCATGTCATATAGTCCAAGCAGTCTTGTGTAGATCTGATGGTTCCAGCAACCACTTCGGCATTCACATGGTCAGGCAAAACATCAATCAAGCTGTAAACAAAGGTCACCATGTTTGCAATAATAATTATGTCAACTGAAACAACAACAAAAAGAAACAACAGAATGGCAAATGCTACAGTCATCTGCATGTTCATATACAAAAAAGGGTAAAGAAGATTTAGCATTTAATTAACTTGAGCACTTAATTTTTCCGAAATTTGGTGTGGTGTTAGCCTAGCTCAAAAATGCCAGAAAAACTTGTGAATGCTTTTTGTACTACAATTTATGCTTAGGACAGATATTTGAAGACAATTTATTATTCAAGGTGTTTAACTCATAAACTTGTGGCATTTTTTCATGCGATGTTAGGGCCTCTAGCATTTCACCTACATTGAAATGCTGTGGAGGGATTTGATCCTTTGGTGAAGCACCACCGCTGTGAAGAGCACTACCACTGCTGAAAGAAGATTCCCAGATCATCATCAAGTTTCTGCACCTCATATCACAAACCCACACTGTCCTCTTGGGGGTGAGGCACGCCGAGTGGTGGAAACTTTATTGGGCCAATGTACGAAAAATACACCACGATGTGAAACTAAAAAAATAGAAATTTGCTCTATTAACCTGTGTTAGTGAATTCAATATTAGTTCTTAATCTTACCTAATTCATTGTTTCACGTTAATGTCTCCTAAAAGATGCTTACCCCCCGCTTTGTTTTGAGACTGGTTTTGCAATGGCCTTTCATTGTAACTCCTCACGACACCTGTGCATGGGGGAATAAAAAGTGGAAAGAGTGTCCCCACAGCAGAAAAGCTGCACAACTCCTACCAGGGTTTTCATGTGATGCTCACACCTCGGTGCATCCCCCAACGAAAGACTCTTAAGATTCCTTACAGTATGTCAGTGGCAATGATGCGATTGATTGAAGCGCACCTTTAGGAAGAGCAGATAAAACCCCTCTTTAGAACAGCAAGCACAAGTCCCCATTTTAAATGCAAATAATCATTTCTTTTATACTGAGCAGTTGTACCACGTTTAATAAAATGAAAACAGTCGAACCCGTTTATAATCCCCCCGTTTATATCAGTAGTTCGTTGTATATAAACTAGCCTATAAAAACGTGCCCTTAGCAGCCATGTTCTATTTTTCCTGTGTATTTTTATAGAAAAGTACTAACTACCACTCCGCTGACAATTTAGGCCTTTTCGCGTATTAAGCAATGTTTGCTGCGTGCTCACGAGTCAATAAAATCACGTTCGCCATGAACTCACGCCGCTTCCACTAAAGTGTGGTACCCCCACATCTAACCAAGCATTTGTGGCTAGTTGCATGCAGCGCGTCACTGTCAAGAATGACAAGATGAAGAAAAGAGGAAAAGAAAGAAGTTGTTTTGAATAGGTAATTTAAAATGCTGGAATGAGAGAGAAGAGGAGGAAAAAGAAGAGGGCGCAGGGCAAGTGAGGAACGTGAGAGCTGGGACGTGGCGTTCGAGGGGCCAAGGGCTGCGGAAGTTCGGACTGGGTCTCGCTCCAGGCTCCCGCCCGAGCACCTGACTCGGCGAGCAGCTCACGGAGCAACCGCCGATCCTGGACGGCAGTTTCCCGCCCGAGCACCTGACTCGGTGAGCAGCTCACAGAGCAACCGCGGATCCTGGGCTGCAGTTTCCCGCCCGAGCACCGACCTCGGCAAGCAGCCCCGGAACCACCGCCGATCCTGGGCTGCAGTTTCCCGCCCGAGCACCGACCTCTGCAAGCAGCCCCGGGACCACCGCCGACCCTGGTCTGCAGTGTATCCCGCCCGAGCACCTGCCTCGGGAAGAAACCACCGGAGCTACCGCTGCAGTGGTTCTTCAACATCGTCGCCACCGTTGAGCATCGATATGGCGTGTCATCACGTCTGAGAGGGACTCCCAGCGGACCGGAGGCCACGCCACAACTGTAAGCGCGAGAACTAGAGAACGGCAAACGGAATCGGACGTTGAAACACGCATCATTAAGACATCTCGTTTTCTGTGTTTTTCAATGTGTGCGTGTTTGTGTTGTTGTTTTGTTTTGTGATTTTCATGGTAATGAAGTGGTAGTTTTCGTTTGGTACCATCAGCCTCTATGGTTCATTTCGCAACGTCTGACGAGCGAACCAGGCCTCAGCACATATACGCGTGACAGTCACTTAACTGTGGCAGTTCGGCGGCAGTGCACGAACCGGACGGAACGTAACAAATCTGCTTTCGCAGCTTGCTGGCTTCAACTTGGCTCACGGATACCGCCCTTATCGCCTTGATAGACGGACGCGTCACCACCACTTTGGTCATCGTGGTCCTGCGCCTGCGCTTGGAGTTTCACGTGACCTGGACGTTTCACGTAACCTGGACCTGGAAAACGCTTAAAAAGACGGCATTGCCGAGTGGACCACGCAGTTCGGCGGCAGTGCACGAACCGGACGGAGCGTAACAAATCTTCTGCTTTCGCAGCTTGCTGGCTTCAACTTGGCTCACGGATACCGCCCTTATCGCCTTGATAGACGGACGCGTCGCCACCACTTTGGTCATCGTGGTCCTGCGCCTGCGCTTGGAGTTTCACGTGACCTGGACGTTTCACGTGACCTGGACCTGGAAAACGCTTAAAAAGACGGCATTGCCGAGTGGACCAGGCAGTTCGGCGGCAGTGCATGAACCGAACGGAACATAACAAATCTTCTGCTTTCGCAGGTGAGAAACGGTGTTACCCACGTCTAAGTCTGCTCCTGTGCCTGTGCACTGCTGCCGAACACAGCGTGAAGTGTATTTGCTTTGAGTGAAGTGTTCTTGCTTTGCTATGGGAAAGGATTCCGCAAAAAGTGCGGGGAAAGACGCGGAAAAGGACGCAGCAGATGTAAAGGATTTAAAAGAGCTGTCGAAGGCATTTGAAAATTTCAAACGCGATTTCAGAAGTGAGATTCGGGAAATTAAAGACAGCATAGCCTTTTGCTCTGACACCTGCAGTGAGGTGAAAGATGTAGCCACTGATATTAAGAATATGAGAGCTGAAATGCAAGAGCTCATAAGACAAAACATGGAATTGAAAGTGGAAAATAAGAGACTGTCACAAAAATGCGATGAGCTCGAACAGTATCAGCGCCTAAACAATCTTGAGATAAAGGGTGCGTTGGTCGGGAATGATCCAGTGGATGTTGTAAGAAAGATAAGCGAAGCTGTCGGCACGGCAGTTGATCTGTCTGATATTGACGCATGCCACTGGATTCCCACTCCTAAGCCTGGTGTGAAGAAAATAATCGTTCGCTTAGTAAAAAGAACAAAACGTGACGACATACTGGCGAAATGTAGAAAGAAGAGGCTCGATAGTTCTATGCTTGGGGATGACAAAAAAACGCCCATTTTTGTAAATGAGCATTTGACGCAGAAGGGCAAGGCATTGCTTGCAGCGGCAATACAAAAAAAGAAAGAAGCCGCATGGAAATTTGTCTGGAGATCCGGTGGCAAAATCCTTGCACGCAAAGATGAAGGATCACGAGCGATACACATTGCGGATGAGACAAGCCTGGCTAAAATTAGAAATTAGATGTGGCATGTGTCATAACAAATTGAAAAACATTCCACCATGACTGATCTTGTAAATAACCAAAAGTATTACAGTGTTGAAGACTTTAATAGGGCATTGCAATCAGGAAAAGGCTTGTTTAAAGCATTGCATATAAATTGTAAAAGCATAAAAAGAAAGGTCGACGACATTGCTAATTTTATATGGTCTATAGCTATCGGATTTGATGTGCTAGTTTTCTCCGAGACATGGATTACTTATAAAGAAGATGCGCCGTTCTTTCCAGGCTATAGTCATGAACTTCTCGGTCGTAACCAGCAAAAAGGTGGAGGTCTTGCTATTTATTTTAAGGATACGCTTTCGAGTGAACTGCTTGATAAGTATACTGTTATGAACGATGATGTTGAATGCATTACAATGTGTGTTGGCTCATTCATAGTAATTGGTGTATATAGGCCACCACATGGCCACAAAAAGAAATTTATTGAGTTTCTTAATGTTGTGTTATCCACTGTTCGCGGGAATACTCCTTGGTGACATAAACATTGACCTCTGTTCCAATGATCCTTATGCCAAAGATTTTGAAACGCTCTTACTTACATAAGGAAGTACAAATTTTATACGTTCACCTACTAGAATTACATCAACAAGTGCTACGCTCCTTGATATATGCGCCTCAAATTTATGTTCACAGAATATAGAATCCGGGGTATTTGCGTATGACATAAGTGATCATATGCCCATCTTCTTTCTTGCACGAGTTACTTCTCAAATTGGTCAGAAAACAGAGACATCTTTCCACCGAATTAAAAACAGCAAAACTCAGGAACATTTTTTTCAGCTAGCTCAGAACATAGACTGGAACACTGTTTATAGACAAGAAAATCCTGATGATGCTTATAACACATTCATGACGTTATTGAGTGCTAGCTATGATGCGGCATTTTCACTTCAGAAGCGCTCACGTGGCAGAAATAAGAAATGCAGAAAGCCTTCGATAAATCGTGATCTTTATCGGCGCATAAAAATAAAGAATAAATTGTATCATGATTTCATCCGTTCGCGGAACACAGACGCCTTAGCTGAGTACAAGAAATACAGAAACGTTTTAAATTCAGAAATACGGAAGGCTAAACAGAACTACTATGAAAAATTATTTGAAAGCATTTACAATGACCAGAGGAAGCTATGGGAGGTCATAAATGGGCTTATGAACAGAAATAAGGGTTGTAATAGGACACAGGACCTAACAATTAATGGTCAGATTTTCAGTGGTGAAAGGTTGGCCAATGTTATGAATGAACATTTCATAAATGCGGGTTCCTTTATTTTAACGGATGAAAAGCGAGATAATGCTCCAACTCCTGATAAGTCTCCTTTGCCGTATTCTATTTTTCTTGCACCCACAGATCCGGTTGAAGTAGAAAGATTAATCAAAAAACTTAAAAACAATGTTGTATCAGGAATTGATGAGATAGGTTCTGTTGAGTTAAAATGGTGTCACCATTGATATCTAATGTCTTGGCCTATATTATCAACCTTACCCTCACTAACGGTGTATTTCCAGAGCAGTTAAAAGTGGCAAAAGTCACTGCAGTACATAAAGGTGGTGATATCAATACTTTAGCGAACTATCGACCTATATCCGTGCTTCCAACAATATCAAAAATATTTGAAGGGGTTATTTATGATAGACTTGCATCCTTTTTTGATAAGCACCAAATAATAACAAAAAGTCAGTATGGCTTTCAAAAAAATAAATCAACAGAACAAGCTCTACTGTATATCAAAGATAAGATAATCGAAAATATGGAAAACAAAAAATATACTCTTGGGCTCTTCCTCGATCTTCAAAAGGCATTTGACTCCATACAATTAAAATCATTGATTCATAAATTATCAAGTTATGGGGTGCGTGGAGTAGCACTACAACTGTTTAAAAGTTACCTAGAAGATCGTTATCAATATGTACAACTGAATAACACTATTTCTGCAAAGATAAAGTTGAACCAAGGAGTCCCCCAAGGGTCTATACTGGGGCCATTATTGTTCCTTGCCTATATAAGTGATATTGTCGATATACCTCATTCTCCTGAACTTATAATGTACGCTGACGATACGAATGTTTTCTTTTCATCAGACAATCTAATATCACTTGAGGTCAGTGTAAATAATTATCTAAGCAATCTTTCAAATTGGTTAAGGTAAAATGGACTGCGCTTGAATGCAAAAAAAACAACCTATATGATATTCCGACCTATAAACAAACCTATTAGTAACATAGCTGTAAAATTCGAAGGAAATTGCATCGCACAAGTTAGGGAACAAAAGTTTCTTGGTGTATGGTTTCAGGAGGAATTAAAGTGGAACACACATGTAAATCATCTGATCACCGCATTAGCGCGAATAGTTGGTTGTTTTTTTTTTAGAACAATGCACTTAATCCCATTGAGGTTAAAAATAAGTATGTACTATGCACTCTTCCATTCTAAAGTAAGTTATGGGATGTTAGTCTGGGGAACGACATCACAAGGGAATTACCATAAGTTAATAACTATACAAAAGAAAATATTGCGCTGCTTTGAAAAATACAGGGGGAATCTACAAGACTTGCGCACTGCTCCACTATTCATTAAACATTCCATACTCAGAATTGATCAATTATATCATTTTAAATTGCTTCAGTTAATACAGAAGACTAAGCTATATGAAGAAAGTTGCACCGAAAGACCACACTACAGTCTGCGAGAACAAAAGAAACGAGCTCCTAGAACAAGAACCAAGAATGGAAAACAAAGTATTGCTTACCAGGTACCGCAAGTTTTAAATACCCTTGCAGATCAATTGAACTTTAGGGCTAGTAGTGCGACTTTCAAGAAACAAATAAAGAACTTATTCATAACCACCGGTCTATGCTATCGAAACTACGTAATGGAGTCTCATGCCTCTGCAAATGCTTAAATTGTTCATAAACTTCTATGTCAATTATACGAGTGTACACAGCGCAATTCATTGTATCCGCATGCATTTTGTGTCTGTTCTTGAGTTGTTTCATTGATTTTGTTTAGTTGTGAATTTTTACGAGAGTGACCTCTAATTCTTAAAATGTGTTATGTAAACTTCTTATGCTATTTATGTTTGAATTTTGTGTTTACAATTTCAGGTTGCTTGAAACCAATGTATTGAATATATATATTGTTTGTCAGTGCTGATGTCTAAGCTTTGCACTGTCACAGACTGCGGAGGGACAAGGGCCTTTGTCAGGCTGTTCGCCTTTAGCCCTTTGCCCCTGCAGTGAGCTCTGTATCCGGCTTACTGTAAATAAAAATACTACTACTACTCATATACTTAGAAATTTTGGCGCAACCTCGACTCACGCAAACACTCACACAAGCACACACACTTACACCAGAGCAACACACACGACACGCAGCGCTCACTACCAACTGTTTATTGCTCCTATCTGACCTTCTTAAATACGTACATCGAAATGCGCAAAGGCACAAACTAACAGAACTGCGCCAGTAGAACACCAACATGGCGTCACCACACCACTAGGAACAAGTAAAAAGTAAAAAAAGTATGAAAAGTAAAAAAAGGGGGGGGGTTAACACGAAAAGGAGATATAATCGCTAAACCCTCGCATCAAGGAAAGATATTTCTTGTTGATGCAACACCAAAGATGGCTCGCTGACACATATATCTTTATTCTTTTCTATATAATATGCTTCTAACAGCAAACGTGCTGATAAATTTGAGCTTCTCCCAAGAATCCTTGTATCCGAAAATCGTGGTTCACACCCACATGCGGCAATATGCGACACAAGATGTGCGTACTTATCCTCGTTTTTCTTAACCTTTAGCGCATGCTCCCTAAGCCGGTCATTGAGGCATCGCTCGGTAATGCCAATGTACACGTTACCGCCAGGTTGCGCCAAAATTTCTAAGTATATGATGTATAACCAACTAGCCCAACAACAAGTTTTGTTAAACTACTACTACTGTCGGCTCTTACCGTCGCATGCCAGGCTGTTTGCACTCCAGTGCTTGCATGCGTTTGTGTGTTCTTCGTGCATGCTACACTCAAGGTCATGCTCGGGTACGGCGAGTGGCCTGTTTGTCCAACACAACGAAAACAATTTTTGTAAACAACACACGCAAGCAGCCTCACACGACGTGGCAGCGGCGAACTGGCGAACGGCGACTTGACGCCCTTGTACCAGCATTAACTGCTGAGCAGATATCTGCAGATGACTGTGATAACGTTGCCGGCGATGAGTCAAAATGGCTCGCTCATCGCCACTGGCCACATTGCTATTGCTCAGCGCTGGTGTTGTCCTCTTTGCTTTCCTTGCCTCGCCTTTCGTTTCACGTTTCTTCTAGCACATTCGCGCTCGCGCTACAGCCCTTATCACCATGAATTGCTATTGCTCTTTTCTGATGCGCTTTGTATGGGCCATATTTTTACAGCGACCGCGTCCAAAGTGTTTGCTTACTATAAAAGTACACGGCTTAGAAAAATGTCCGCTGTATGCCAACCCAGTTTCAAAGAGTAGCATAGAAAAATCGTAAATGTACGTAAATAAGGTCGTTATAACAGGCTTCTACTGTATATGCATGCTGATTTATAAAATTTATAAAGTAATTTATTCATAAAATAAACATACTGCTCTTTTTTTTTTTCACCAGTTTTTACAGTCTTTTGACCATCAGCCACATAAAAGTTGCCCATAATACACTGCATATTTGTAATTAAATTTGGCTTCCTACAATGCTTGATACACCTTTAGTATTTAAACTTACAACATTTATTGATAAATTGATCATATCATATGTGTGCAGTATTGTTTTTCTCCAAAAGGCTGCACGAAGAACATTAGGCACAGCTACACATCACCGCAGCGGGAAAACAAAGGATAAAAAAGCTGTTTACATTAAACACAACCACTGAACACCAACCGATACGAGGCTCCTACAAAAGAACATATTGGCTCCTATCTCGCATCAATGCTTTCTGTACCATAGACAGAAGGCAAAGCCCGGCCTTACCTGGACTCCACTGGGAATGGCTCGTAGAGGAACTTGTTGTAGAACTTTTTCTTGAGGTCGTGAACCAACACCACTGCCACACCTTGATCATCAAACTGTGGTCTGCCAGCTCGACCAATCATTTGCAAGACATCTGCAGTGGCACAAGAGCATCATCCCCAGGTCATCAGAAAAGACGGATAACCACTTAGACCATGAATCAATCGTTCGTGAACTTACTTACAGCGCAACACCAGAAAAAATACAGGACAGGGAAGGAGCAAAAGAGAAAGAAAAAGACGGCACTGCTTCTCTTTTTCTTTCTCTTTTGCTCCTTCCCTGTTCTGTATTTTTTCTGGTGTTGCGCTGTAAGTAAGTTCACGATGGATCCTAACCAACTGGCCCAACTTACCGTCTTACTATGAATCAATCGTATTGGCTAGAACCCTATTTTTCACACTAAATGCAGATTTATATTGTTATGTGCCACGGACCTAGAGATCGAAGAAGATGAGGACAAGTTTTATACAGTTTATGCAATCTTCGCTGCTCTTGCCCCAATAACTTTGATTGTTTAAATATCCTAAATACACCTGTCTTTTGTTATCTTTCCTGACACCTTTGGTGGAGGTGCTGGGTACATCAGACGCCCACCACGAAACTTCGCAGCAGGCGTCTTCTTGAACGATCCATCCTGTTGATAGGCTGTTCTGTCGATCCACCCCCTACTATGCAAACTGAACCCAGTCCCGTCATTGTGACCCATCTAGAAGACCTTGGCACTTTTTGTGGAACTGATAAAGTGAATGTCAAAAAGTGGCTGGCTGACTACAAGTGTGCCAGCCAACTTTTATGCGGGAAACGTCAGCTACTACTTCAGGGGGGAACAGCCAGTGTGTGGATCGACACCCACGAATAGGAGCTGACTAATTAGAATGTGTGCAAACAAAAAATGAAACACCTCTTCTGAAAGCCCATCGCATGCTAATGAGCAGCCCAGAAAAATCTCTCGCACCGTGCAAAAACCTCGACAGAGCCATACATGGTGCACATTTAAGATGTTTTAGCCCTGTGTTGGCAAGTTGAGGATCACATGCCCGAAGCTGACAAAGTCAGCCATATTCTTAGAGATACCTGATACCTTACATTTTTAGCTTACCTTTTAGCTTACTTTAAAAGTGGATGATACCTTCCAATTTTTAGCGTACAGAGACTGCTCCACCATTGAGGACATCCTCAGGGAGTGCCGACGCTTTGAAGAAGCAAAGAGTCATGAAGTTACACAGCAATTTGCTTGGCTCCCTAACACCAATGACGCGTCGTCGTGCGAAGACGTCCAGCTAGCCGCCCACCCAGTACTGAAAACCTCCCGCGCCTTGTGCAGCGAGAGATTGACGCAACATCTCTATCTGCTCCGATGGCTCGTTTTTATAAGAAGGCCCGCCTAACAGTGTCATTGATCCAGCTCTTATGTGTCCCAAGTCATCCCACGGTCAGCCCTATTCTATCCTACAGGCCACGACCGACCTCGTCTTGATACCATGATTCCAAAAAGTGGCGTATGCGTAGTGACAAGCTGATATGTTTTAAGTGCAATATGGTAGGCCGTATTTCTCACTATTGTCGCTATCGTTGGCCATCGTCTCTCTGTGCTTCTTATCGTGTCGAGGACACTCGATCTTCACCGAATTGCACCCGTGAGGACCCCCGAACGTCAGCTCCATGTTACGACCGCTCGCCGTCCCCACAGGGCCAGCAGTGTTCTTGGTCACCTGTGCCCAAGGAGGTTCTATACTATGTCTTCTGAAGTGGAGGTACGCCCTCATAAGTGACGCCAGTCGCCGCCATATTGGAAAAGGAAAGACTCGGAAGCAGATGACAAAGTGCGCTTCATAGCTCCGCCCTCACAGTGGCCTTTGGAGACTGTGACGTGCTTTTGTGAAGCAGATAAAGATTTTACAAGGCCATGGTGACTTCGTGCGTCGCTTATGGCTGCACAAATCACATCAAGAAGACGTCTGGGATCACTTTTCACGTGAAAATATTCTAGTGTGAAGAAGAAGATATGTCTGCAGCGAGCAGCATCGCCAACGCCAGGCTCTTTCGGCTCGTGCTTCGGTTCGCTGCTGTGCCGGTCTCTGCTGGACGGTTCATCACGCTGTCTTGCCGTTGTCGTTAACGACTAATAAACTTCTTCACATTTCGTGGAGGGTGCTGTTTATCCCCGTCGCTACACCCTGGAGCTGCGAAGCCGCACGCTACCGTCCATCATGACTGACAACGCCAACCCATCAGCGGCGTCGCCCCAGTTCAACTGTCCCGACCATCCTAGGCTACGGGACCCGAAAGTCTTCAGCGGTGCAGATGGGACCGACGTGGAAGACTGGCTCGAGCACTACGAGCTGGTGAGCGCCAATAACAAGTCGGATGAAGCCGACAAGCTGGGCCACGTCATATTTTATCTCACTGGCGTAGCAAAATTGTGGTTTAACAACCACAAACACAACATTCCCACATGGAGCGTCTTCAAGACGTCATGTGCCGAAGTGTTCGGTCGGCCGGCTGTCCGCAAGCAGCGGGCAGAACAGCGCTTGCGCGTCCGCTCTCAGCAGACTGGAGAAAATTTTACCAGCTATATTGAGGATGTCGTCGACTTTTGTCTACGCGCGAATGACACCATGCCTGAGTCGGACAAGGTCAAACACATCCTGAAGGGCATCGACGATGGCGCTTTTCAAATGCTCTTGGCTAGGAATCCAAGCACAGTTTCTGAAGTCGTCAGCTTGTGTCAGAGCTACGACGAGTTGAAGAAGCAACGCACTCTGACTCGGCAGCCTCAGCCTGGTGGTGAGTCGCTGTCCAGTTTCGACTCCATGCCTGACAATTCACCATTGCTTCAGCAAGTCCGAGCCTTCGTCCGTGAGGAAGTCGCCCGCCAACTTTCCCTAGTGCGCTTTACTCACGAGACCACCACCCATCTACCTGCCCCGCTTTGCACTGCTATATCGGAAGAGGTTGCACAAGCTGTTTCCCATGCGCACTACGAGCCACCTCAATCTAGCCGTGGTCACTGCCCGGGTGTCGCACAGCCGGTAAGCGCTCTTGTCGCCTATCCGCCAGCCGTTCAGCCTGTGGCCGCGCCCCTAACCTGTGCAGCGTAGCCTGTGGCTCCTCCTGTCACCTTTTCGCAAAAGATGCAGCCCGTAGTCGCGCCGCTCACATATGCAGACGCTGTACGTAGGCTCCCGCAACCACCCTACACCACGCGCTCACAGCCCGCACACCCAGCTGCTTATACTGCACCTTGGGCGGCAGCACCAGTCGCCAAACCTTGGAGGACGCCCGATAACCGACCGATTTGCTACGACTGCTTCACTCCTGGACACACTGCCTGCTACTGCCGCCGTCGACCTCAGACGTTCGGCAACTATGCCCGGTCGTCGCAACCAGGCAGCCAACCCTTCGCCCAATACGGGCCGGTCTCGTCACCTCGCTATGCCCCTACTGACCACCTTGACTTTCAGCCGCAACGCGCACCTTCTCCTCATCGGCGATCTCCCTCCCTTATGCGTCGTCGGCCCGGACCCTCCGACCAGGAAAACTAAGCACCGCAGTTCAAGAGGCAAGAACTGCGCCGTTTTCGAACTGTCTAAGCCCTCGCTCCTCTCCCACTAACGTGGTCACAGTAACTGTTGAAGGTTATTGTACTTTCGCCCTTGTGGACACCGGCGCCACTGTTTCTGTCATTGCCGCTAATTTCTGCCGTTTATTACGCAAAGTGACAACGCCGCTTTCAGAACTGTCGCTTCACACCGCAAGCGCACAGCAAGTAACGCCTCTCGCAGCCTGCACTGCAAGAGTGTCCATCGAAGGCATTCTTTACATCGTGGAGTTTATTGTTCTCGCTGTCTGTTTGCATGACGTCATCCTCGGGTGGGACTTCCTATCCCGCCATAATGCCGTCATAGACTGCGCACGCGCCGAAGTTGAGTTTTCATTCTTGTGTGATGTCCCATTACTGGATGCTCTTCATCAGCTGCCGAAGTTGCTGGTTCATGAAGATACCGATATTCCGCCTGGAAATTTCGTTTTTGTTCCCGTTTTATGCAACGCCTACACTAACGCTACAGTCCTTTTTATGCCTTCCGATATCTTCAAATTTGAGCTTTGCCGCTGCCTTTCGCAAAAATTAACTTTGCTGCCGGAAGAAGCAACATGTTCGTAAGCAATCTGCTTTCCACACCTGTCACTTTGCTTGCGAGGGAATGTCTCGACCGCGTGCAGAATCTCGACCCTTCGTCTTTGGTTGATGTCCCGGACGACTACTGCGACCCCCCAAAAGCACTGTCGGCACTCGGGGAGTCGTCCAATGATACGTTTTCCAGCGCCATCGCCGACACTCTCACTCCCATCGAACATGCCGATCTGCTGAATCTTCTGCATGAGTTCGGGAGTTCTTTCGATGTGTCGCAACCTCAACTGGGCCGCACTTCACAAGTTATACATTATGTTGACACCGGCCTACACCAGCTACTGTGTCAAAGACCATACCGTGTCTCCGCTGAAGAGCGCAGCGTGATCAACGATCGAGACGAAGATATGCTTCGTAGAGACGTCATTCGACCATCTCACAGTCAATGGGCGTCTCCCGTCGTCCTGGTGCATAAGAAAGACGGATCTGTCCGATTTTGCGTGGACTGTCGTCGTTTGAATAAGATAATCCGCAAGGACGTCTATTCTTTGCCACGCATTGATGACGCCATTGACAGCCTCCACGGAGCGGAATTCTTCTCATCACTAGATTTGCGGTCTGGCTACTGGCAGGTCCCATGGCTGAAGCTGATCGCCAAAAAACGTCATTTATTACACCAGATGGACTATACGAATTTAACGTCATGCTATTTGGGATTTGTAACGCGCCTGCCACGTTTGAACGTCTTATGGATAATACGCTACGTGGCCTCGAATGGAATGCCTCTGTTACCTCGACGATGTCGTGGTTTTCTCCCATGACTTTCCTACGCACCTCCTTCGCCTCAGGCACGTTTTGACTTATCTGACCAAGGCTGGCCTGCAGCTTAACCTGAAAAAATGCCGCTTCGCTGCACGCGACCTTGTTATCCTAGGCAACATCGTGTCCAAGCACGGCGTATT